GCTGGCGGGATTCCACCTAATGGCAGTCCCTAACCTCCCTGCTTGCTAATTAATGGCTTCACTGAGGCGCCACGCCTTCTGTAGCYGCAGGGCAGGCCGCGCAAATCAGTTGGCCTGGATCTCCCTGGTCCTGCTGCAGTTGGGATCTTTTTTTAGTTGTTAATGGACCTTTATTATATGCAGAGCTGAGAATCAAACCCAGTGCCTCACATGTGCAAAGCAAATGTTCTACCACTTATCTATAGCCCCAGCCCATGGTACCTATATTTTTAATAGCATCCATATGAGTATTGATTGTGTGGAAATCCACTGTGAGAAGCCCCATAATAAACTTTATTGATTGGTCTACATGTAAGGGATTGGATCTATTCAATGAATAAAATCCACGGAAATACATGTAAACATCTAATGATGGCAGAGGGTAAGAAATGTGGGTTTAGCTACCCTGAAGGATGCTTCAGTCCTCACTAATACATCTCTCCTTTCCCTGTTCCATCAGTGACATTATCTCTACACATTCCATTGAGTGGTCCCAGATTATTACTGTAGAGTAGCCAGACGCTGTGGCTTATTGTATGATAGGCTTGACTTGAAGAATGCCTTCCCAAGAATGACACATACTTGGCATGTGTGCCTTCTCTCATCCCCTCACACCATGGCAGATGTCAGCTGGTCACAACATCCTTTTGCCCCAGTGCCAAGACTCTGTATTAGCATTCTTTTTAATACAATAGATCTGGACACTATTACCGATTAATTTGATTTTACATTTAAATTGAAACTTATTTGTGTTTCAAATAAGAGCAATCAAAATTCTTCCAAGGCAGGAGGCAGGAGGATCACAGGTTGGAGGCCAGCCTCAGCAACTTAGTGGGGCCCTAAGCAACTTAGTGAGACAATGTCTCAAAATAGAAAATAAAAGGACCTGGGGATGTGCCTCAGTGATTGAGTGCCCCTGGGTTCAATACCTGGTACCAAAACACACAAACAAAATTATGGATGTTTATTATATATCTGAGTGGAAATGTATATGGATATGTAGATTAGAAAGTTGGTGTTAATATTAGATTACCCTACATGTGTATGACCTTTTTATTTATTTTTCTTTTTCAAGTAAATAAGCCTATGGATTTTCCCTTCTGTATAGGGTGTATATTTTTCATATAGATTTCTAGGTGGTATCTTTTGAAGAAAGGCAATAATCACATTACCATAATAAATGATAGCTTCATTATCATTGAATAATGAGCTTAGGTACATTCTTTGAAAAACTCTACATAAATTCAAATTGGATTTAAGTGAATATTTTTGAGAAGAACTATTGAATTGACAAATGTGCATCAAAGTTTTTCAACTAAGTATAATCTAAATAATAAGGTAAAATGAAAAGATTTTTATTAAAAAGAAACTTGGAGACAATAGTGGGAAATTAAATCTAACATATTTCCAGCAAAGTAGAATACCAAAGAAGTAAGACTGTAGTATTTAAAGTGAACCAATGCAAGGGAATCCCACCTTTATATTTTCTTTATTGAGAAAGTTTAACTTTGAGAAATTGTAACCCATTAAGAAACTTTCCTGCCAAGTGTGGTGGCACACATCTGTAATCCTAGTGACTCACGAGATGGAAGCAAGAGGATTGCAAGTTCAAATCCAGTCTCAGCAATTTAGTGAGGCCCTAAACAACCTAGTGAGACCCTATCTCAAAATAAAAAATAAAAAGGGCTGGGGTGTAGCTCAGGGTTGAAGTGCCTCTGGGTTCAATCCCCAGCACCAAAGAAAGAAGAAAGAAAGGAAGAAACTTTCCTGATGGTTCTGCAAGTAATAATTCAACTAAGGAATATGTGGTCCCTAGGCTCTCTTTCAGAAGAGATGAGGTAATCTTGACATTGAAGCTCTTCCTTGTACTGACTCAAACTAGTTCTAGTTCCCCAAGTATTTGTTTTGAGTAAATATTTCAAGAAAAGGAGCCAATTCTTGACCCATTCATATTGTTTAAGTTTGTAGATGGCCATCTGCCCAACATAAAAGTCTTCACTTTTTTAGAATTTGATTCTTTATTCTTTGCAGCAAATCCGTAGTCTTTATTATTTTGTAAACATCTTTCACTTTAATGGGTTTATATATTTGGAAACTTAGTACCTAACTCTCCTTTTTTGCCAGGATYACAAGTCTTGGCAACTTTTGAAAAAGTCCCATTTGAGAGAGCATTCAGGAGGCCACATGCTGACTTCACAACCAACTACTTCACAGCCTCCTGCTGGAATGCGGTCAGCCACCGGGCCCCTGCCATCATCTATGACTTCTATCTGCGACTCACTGGAAGGGAGCCCAGGTGAGCAGCTGTACAAATGGCTTTAAGAGTGTCACTGTGCTGGAAATTAGGGCCTGAAAGTCTCTAGCCCAGCTTCAGCTGAGGATCAAAGTGGATGCTGAATGTATCTCTCTCTCTCTCTCTCTCTCTCTCTCTCTCTCTCTCTCTCTCTCTCTCTCTCACACACACACACACACACACACACACACTTTTGGGACAAAAAGGCAGCAGTAGTAGTGAGAAACCACAAACTACTGCTAACCTAAAAATCTCCTGCCTGCCATAATGAAGGAAGTTAAAGAACTTGCTTGATGAAATAAGCCAATCCCAAAAACCCAGGGCCTGAATGTTTTCTCTGATAAGTAGATGCTAATCCATAATGGGGGCGGGGTGGGTGGAAAAGGGGTGGGTGGAAAAGGGATGAGTGGAGGAACTTTGGATGGGACAAAGGGGCATGGGGTGGGGAGCAAGGAGGTGGAAAAGATGGTGGAATGGAAATGGACATCATTACCCTAGATACATGTATGATTGCACGAATGGTGTGACTATTTCACATACAACCCAAAAAGTGAAAAATTCTGCTCCATTTGTATACGATGAATTGAAGAGCTCTCTACTGTCATGTAGAACTGATTAGAACTAATAAAATAAATAAATAGATAGATAAATGATAACTTGCTTGATAAATTTAGCAAGTCATCATCCACACTAAAAGTAAAGCAACGGAGACTCTGTCACTGGAGTGTTTCAAGTAAATCATTTTAAAATACACAGTAACGACAATCTCTGAGAGCTTACTGTGTGGCACTTCTGGGGGGAAGGATGACAGCATCATGATGATCCCATTTCCACTCTCACATCTCAGAGAAGACATTCTTATCATCCCAAATTTAAAATCAAGGAAAGAGAAGCTAAGGGAAGAATTTGAATAGTCTCAAAGGAAGTGTCAGAGGAAGGGTTTAGAGAACGCTGAGTCTCAACTGCCAGTATTGTGAATTGTGAAGGAATTAGGGGGAACAAAGTGTGCTGAAGCTAAGCCATGAGCAGTGTGACAGAGGACATATCCCTTATCTCTTTGTCTCACTGGAGTAATGAGAAGTCATCATTATTATAATTACCAAGTCAAGCCTGTGATCAAGAATTAGACCATGAACTGTATTGGCTTCTTTACTATCCTTTATTAGGGTTAGGGGGTTCTCAGTGTGCTTAATTTTCATCCTTTTTAACAGAGCAAATGACTCAAACTTAGCCACTGTAGCTTAACCATATTTTCAGAGACTCCATTTAGAGCTCACAACTCAGCTCTTTACTGAAGTATAAGGACATGTGACTATAAGGGAAATATTTGAATGGGCTTTTTTGTTGGAAGAGGGGGATAAAAACGGACAGCATGCCTTTATTTTGTTTGTTTATTTTTTTATGCAGTTGTAGGGATTGAACCCAGTATCTCACATATGCTAGGCAAATGCTCTGCCTCTGAGCTATAGCCTCAGCCCTTGAATGGGGCTTATTAAGTATAAAAAGTAAAAAAAATTACAGCAGAAATGCTAAAACGTTCAAAATAGTCAGGGTTAAAAGGCTTAGATAAATAGCAGAAAGTTCAGTATGTAAAAAATAAAAACACAAGAGGAAGAGACAATAAAAATCCTTAGGTGTTTTGTTTTCGAGAAACCAAACTGTAATTTTGGTGGGAAATGGGTTCTTTTGTTTTGTGGCATAAAAGCCCTAAAATTAGTTCATTTCTGTAAGTCCCAACTTCCTCTTCTGTAAAAAGAGGATAGTGATCATATCTATTTTATAGGACTTTACATCAAAATGTTTAGAATAATAATTTCTATTATTGCTGAAGATGTTTTAAATTTTTATGAGGTAAAATAAATCATTCTTTTCTTTTACCATTTTTGTATTTTAGCTATTAAGATAAACTTTCTACCTTCGAGTGATAAATTCTTTTTTTTTCCTAAAAAAAAATAAATACCATTAGGTCAATATAGTCCTATATATACAAGGATAATACTGTATGTATGACTATTATTTTTTAGAATTAAAGTGCAACTATTAAAATCACATCAATTGTATCAGAGTTGGGACAGAGATTTATATAATTACAGTTAAATGGAACTCTATTATGGTATTTGAGTCAAAGAACATTGATATCTACCTTCTGTTTAAGAAATTTTCCATAATACAGTGAGAGAAGTACCCCATGAGTCATTGGGTACACAGGCTTTAGAATTTAACCAAAAATAAAACCAAATCCCCAAAATAGCAACATAACTCATTACTGCATTGAATACAGTAATCACTATTATGAATATTGGTTTAATTAAGATAAAAATCAAATGCTTTATAATCCAAAGAACTAAGTTGGAGTATTAGCAATGTCTCTTTGAACATAATCTTTCTATGAAGTGAATATAAGTAATATCAATGTTGATGACCTCATAGTTGTATTGTGAGGATCAAATAATAACACATATGAAAGTTTCTTGCTAATTGTATTTAACTTGGAAGATTCACACAAAGGAGCTGTTTCAAGTTCTGACCACAGAATTGGAAAATTACTTCAAGTCATGAGATACAAGGTTATGAGATTGCACAGAGATTTTTGGAGGTTGTTCAAAACTAAGTTGTAATATTGGCTTTGACACAGTCTTAAGTCTATGTTACCTGTTTATGAAAATGCAAATATTTATTTATAAAGATAAAATTATGCAAACTAGCAGAGAGAATATTTCTTAGAAGTATCAGTGCTGTGCATAATTCAGGTTATCAAGAGTGGGTTCTTTTCTCCTTAGGTCTGCATTACAACTGGCAAATGCGTTAGTTCTCCAGATGCTAATATGGTCAATGCTTCTATCCAGGAGTTATATACTAAGATCTGAGAGACTATTTATTTTAAAAAAAATCCAAGAACATACAATAAAGAGAAATAAGTTTTCCAATTGTCTCCCTCAGAATTCAAAAAATGAACAGTGTGTCCTTAGGGGGGTATAGCAGGCTGTTTTAAAAGTAAGTTTGCTACTCTTAGGAAAGAGATGGCAGAAAGAAGACTTTGGTATTAAAATGCCCGATAGAGGAATCTCCTTTAAATTCATTCCCTTTCCTTCATTCAATAGAGTTAAAATGGAAGGAAAAAAAAGATTAAGAATTTTAATGAGGAATTGGAGAAAAAGAAGAGGGATAAGATTTTTCTTCAATGAAATTTGTCATCTATCCCAATATAGTGTCATCCCAATATAGTAGCCATCTGTGGTGCACTGATATCTGCTTCTAATTGATCTCATCCTTAGGATGACAAAGCTCATGAATCGGCTTTTAAGAACTGTTTCCATGCTGGAGTACTTCGTCAACCGGAGTTGGGAATGGAGCACATACAATACAGAAATGCTGATGTCAGAGCTGAGTCCTGAGGACCAGAGAGTAAGTACAGCACTGGTGCAGACAACAGGAGAATCTTACTCATTTGGAATTTAGGATTATTCAACTCATAAAGTCAATGGAGGAAGTTTTGGGTATATACACAGATAATTTTTTCCTAAGAAAATCAGACGCAGTGAAAGGAAATGAGTTTAATGGAGGTAAGAAACCTATGTTCTTGGACTTCACTTAGATTTCTACTGTTTCTCTGTTTCTCTGCAATGATGTATTTTGTCTACTGTACTTCCATCCTGAAATTCTTTTTTCATCCCTCAGTAGTCATATTCACCACAAGCCCTCATTATCTCTGACTTTCCCCTATGTACTATGCTGTCAATAAAAAATGATTTTATTGTTCATTTTTATTGTTCATAAACTCTTTCATCTACTATACTTGACAAATTAAAATTGATCTGCATCTCCACAGCTACAGTTCCTTTCTTTATTTTGTTTCCTCCCTGGTACTGAGGATTAAACGCAGGGGCATTCAACCACTGAGCCACATCCTCAACTCGTTTTTTTTATATTTTATTTAGAGACAAGGTCTTGCTGAGTTCCTTAGGGCCTCACTAAGTTGTTGAGGCTGGCTTTGAATTTGCAATCCTCCTGCCTCAGCCTCCTGAGCTGCCAGGATTATACATGGGCACCACGGTGCCCAGCCCTTCTTATCTTTTTAAAGCTAACCCCTACACTATGCATTCTATCTCATCTAAATTTCACCCCACCAGTATGGCCCTATCTCTGACACTCAGTGTTCCTTCCTGCAATATTTTTCTTCCACAATGCAATTCTAATTTTTAAGATAGGCCATCTCTTTTTGGTATCAGCATCACTTATTTCCTTAGTTTCTTAACAACCACAAAGGATAAACCTCTGCAGATTCTAAAATTCACAAACGCCGAAGTCTTTTGTACTTTGTACATGTCCTAGGTTTCATTTTCCCTGAGCATATCCTTATGACATTACTAAAGTTTTAACTAAACTTTTAAAAGTTTTTACTTCCTCTCTAATGATTGGCATTTTCTCCTAAGAAACAATTGTTTTAAAAATGTTTTCTATTTATTTTGTACTTGACAGCATTGAAATAGTAAGTTTCAACCTAAAATGACTAAAAATGTGTATGGGAATAGTTTCAGTGGATTTGACCATGCTCTCAAAATATTTTAGCAAAGGTAATAATCCTAAATGTAATTACTGAATTCCAGTGTGGCTAGGAATTCAGTTTGATTTGCTGATGGAATAAAAAATTCCGAACTAGAACTTCACTGAAATCTAACTCCGTAGTGTGAAACAGTATAAAAATAAAAGCCTCTATTTATATAAATGAATAAATATTTAGTGATAACCACAAACATACTCAACAAAGTGATAATGGAACTACTGTTGAAAGCAATTCAACTTCTTTTTAAAATATTGTTTTAGTTGTTGATGGGCCTTTATTTATTTTTTATTTATTTGTGGTGCTGAGAATCGAACCCAGTGCCTCACACATGTGAGGCAAGCTCTCTGCCACTGACTGGGGTACAACCCCAGCCCCAAAGCAATTCAATTTCTGGACAAGTCTATGGAGTGCTATGGAACTTGTTAACCTCATGTGCTCTTTGTTAGCACTTCAAATTTTACAAAGGCTTGTGAAAACTTGAATTAATACATACAATAAAAGAACAAAATAGAAATGAAATGAACTACCAAACTAGTTGAAATACAAGCCAATACAAGTCAGAGTGTCATGGCTAAGAATGAAAAAAACAAAAATGTTTTTAGATCCTACTAAGTTGCTAGGGAAGTTGTTCTTGAGGTAGGGAATTTGTTCTTGAGCTTTCTGGTGACAAATTGAACATGAAATTCCTTGTCCCAAAGGTGAAAATATACTAATGTTTAAAGCAAAGCTCTCTTACATTTAATATCTAACGAATGTTTATAAAGGGTTTCCTATCATGGTTTTCTAAGACATAATGGATAATATCTCTAAAGCAAACATAGTAACAGCTCCGGGAAAAGGTTATTTCTGATCATGTTCCTCTGTGAAAGTGGAGAATATTAACAAAAAGCAATATGGATAATAAATCAGCAAAGAGTTCATTCATTAAGTAAATGTTCATTGAATGCTCATAATGTTAACTAAGGATATTAATATTTACTCACCTCCCTCCCAGGTCTAAGATGGTTTTCTGTGATTAATATATAACATTTTTATTTGCATATAAAAGATGAGGATTAAGTAGCCCTAGAGAACTACTAAATCCTTAAGATGTCAAACTAATTTTCTTTAGAATTTTATTATATCCTAGATATAGGGAAACCACTAATCATAAAGCCCAAGAGATTTTCAGAAACTGGTAGCTGGCATTCATTCATTCATTCATTCATTCATTCATTCATTCATTTATGCATGCCTTGTGCACACTAAGCAAGTGCTGTACCACTGAGCAACATCCCCAGCAGTTTTTATTTATTTGTTTTTGAGGCAGTCTTACTAAATTGCCAGGCTGACTTTTAACTTATGATCCCCCTGCCTCAGCCTCCCCTGTGGCCATTTTAAAGTCAATAAACTCAACTTTTAGTTGTGATTGGTTTTTTGATCTTGACAATTTATGCCTTTTATTTAGAACAATCTATGCCTCCATTAAAGGCTGTTGAAAAAAAGGAAGGCTGTCTAAAAATAAAAAGGAAACTAAGTTTAATTTGGTAATATTCATATAAACCTTATATAAACATCAAATAACAAACAAAAATGCTATGTAACAAAAATAAACTTTTGGTTTTTTATTTTTTAGGGTTTTTTTTAGGTGGACACAATATCTTTTGTTTTATTTTTATGTGGTGTTGAGGATTGAACCCAGTGCTCCGTGCATGCCAGGTGAACACGGTACTGCTTGAGCCACATCCCCAGCCCGAACATTTGTTTTTTAAAATTAATATTAAGGAGCTAGGGATGTAATTCAGTGGCAGAGTGCACAAAGCCCTAGGTTTGTTCCCCAGTGACACACACACACACAAAGAATAACATTAATTTTACTAAACTGCAATTCTTTTATATATTCAGCCAGTACTTACTGAATACCCATCTTGTGCCAGCTGTTGTTTCAGGAACATTGTTTATTTGAATTAAGATGTTTTGCTGTTAAGATTAAAGTCCTTTCTAGTGAGGCCTCAATGGGAGTTTAATCAGTTAAATCTAATCAGGCAACTCACCTTCATTGCCCAGAGGAAAATTCTTTACTAATAGGATTTTATTAAGCAAAAAGTGATCTGAGACTGCTATACATCCAAGGAAGAGAAAGCTCCTTATGGGGAAGACTAGACTGCTTAAAGAAACTCCACTTGCTAAGATTTATAAAATATTGAACTTTCTTTAATGCTAGCATAAGTTCATTTTTCATGCCATTCTTTTCAAATATACTAAATAAAAACCTTCAAAATTAAATCTACCCAGTGTGAAGACCAGTGATTATCTAACGCAATCTTTTTTTTCAACAGGATCATACTCAAACCACTCAAGAAGAACCTAACACTTTAAATATTTCCAGAGTTACCACAATCTTCCTGACACTCTTCCTGTTGTTTTATTGCCCCAAATTCTTTATATTCAATCAAAATTATCTATTATATTTGAAGCTCTTTTCCTCTATTTTTCTAGTTAAGCTCGTTTTATGGAGATTTTGAAAAGATGTATGGATGGCTCATGGATGACCTGATGTTTTCCTTCTCAACCCATCCTAGGGCTGTCTGTAGGAAGCTGGTCCTCATGATCCTGCCACACCACAGCATTACTTTCAAAATGGAGCAGAGATAAAATCTGTTGGAAGCAATTAAAAACTTTACACTAGCTTTCAGTAACAAACCAAATAGAAAATACACTTTAATGATGCAAAACATTTTTAAACTTTCCTTATTGTTATTTACAGTGTCTATCTCTATGTAGCAGCACTCTCTCCCTAAATAAATCTCTTCCTTTTCCTTTTGCCCTCCATCTTCCTTCATCTCTTTTCTTTTACCACTAACTTCTTAAATATAAAAAGCTTTAAGGAATGGGTTACTTAACCTCATCTATGTAATGAAGTAGTATTGGAAGAAAGAATAGTAGGCCAAGGGAACAATGCTAAAATTTAAGAGGTATGGGAAAGATATGTAAGTTATATTTCGGTCACTAACATGTCATCCCATTAATATTTATAATAATCATTCATCATTTACTTGAAAAAGCATACCAAGCCAATCACAAGCTTTCACCAGATTGTATTAGCTTTGTTTAGCTGTGATCAAAATACCTGGCAACAATAACTTTTGGAGCTAATTTTCAGAGGTCTCATGGGGGGAAGGGCATTCCTAAGGGAAGCTGCTTCTGGTAAAGAGAAAGGAAGCATAGGGGGGCAGGGGACAGGGTCACAGTGTCCCACCTCCCCCAACTATGTCTCTCTTGCCTACAGTTACTACCTGGTTTGTTCAAACTAGGATGGACTGGTTAGGTTACAGCTTTCACAATCCAATTACTTCCCCCCTGAATATTCCTGCCGAAACACAGGAGCTCTGGAGGGACATCTTATTTCAAAACCATAACACTTAATACCAGTTCTTTTAAATTTTCCTCACAAGACTTCCTGAATGTCAACTGTTTTGGCTTGGTCCCTGTTTAAATAGTCTTATGTAAATGGTGATCTATATTATCAGTTCTTCTGAACTAACAGCTCCAAATTATCACAGGGTTTTTTTGGAGGGGGTGTCCAACCTGTCTCTTATAACTGAGTGTCACTCCTTTACGTAAAAGAAATTTCATCAAGTGGACAAAGTGCCTATTCAGCTGTGCAATTCTGGCAACGCATAATCTCTCTTGCCTTGCAGGTATTCAACTTTGATGTGAGCCAGTTGAACTGGCTAGAATACATTGAAAATTATGTTTTGGGAATTAAGAAATACATATTGAAAGAGGATATGGCTGGGATCCCAGAAGCGAAGCAACACTTAAAAAGGTAAGCATAATTACTCAGGTAATATTTATGGAGCATCTATTGTGTATGTCACTTTGTACCAGATAGAATTTGAGAAGGGAAAGGGAGGAATTAATTTTTCTTGAGCACTTTCTGCAAGTCCTGTGTTCCATACTATGCCCTATAATAATACACTGCTTCATTTAGACTTCACTACACCCCTATGAGGCAGGTATTATTTTCGTTATCCCATTTTTATCACGAAAGTATTTAAGATCAAAGAGGCAAATAACTTATCTGTGGTAACACCTCCTTAGTACAGGAGCCAGATTTAAACTCAAGTTTCTATTTCTTTTACCACACCCTATCATAATGTGATATAAAAAAAATTCCAAAGGCAAGAGACCTGATTATTATATGTAATCCAAGAAAAATCACTTAGCTACTCTTCAGTTCCTTCAACTTCCTTACATTTCTTTCAGCCATAATCCTGGAGGTACAAATAATAATAGCAATGCAGAAAATAATAAGAATGGAAAAGCAGATTATAAACAGGAAGGAAATCTGAAAAGCAGGCCAAGAACTTTAGAATTTATCCTCTGATAAACAAGAACCAGTGAAGATTTATGATATGGTAATAAAGTCAAATATATTTTTAAAAGATTATACTGGTCATGTTTGTAAAATAGCTTAAAAATAGAGAGAGATGAGCAAAGAATCTAGCTAGAGAAATGATTATTCAGAATGTTGTGGAAATAAGATACAGAAACCAAAAAGCCATCAAATCATGCCACATACTCTACTTAATATTTGCTGATTACAACCAGGAAGACATTTATGCTTAAGATCACACAGTTGAGTATTTGTACTATGTTAACTTTGGTTATGTCTGTCTCTTCCCCAGGCTCCGAAATATTCACTACCTCTTTAATACTGCCCTCTTTCTTATCATCTGGTGCCTTCTCATTGCAAGATCTCAAATGGCTCGGAATATGTGGTTCTTCATTGTGAGCTTCTGTTATAAGTTCCTCTCCTACTTTAGGGCATCCAGAACGCTAAAGATCTAAGAACATTCAACATTCACCTTTTATCTGGAACCTCTCGGATACCTCTCAAAACAGTAAACTGTGGTTCTCAAGATTAGGAAGTAACAAGGAACATGTCCAAGCTGACATATGTCAAATATGCTGTTACGTATTCATCACTATTTCTTAACTGTCTATTTTTATTTCCATGAAAGGAGGAAAGTCACAAACTAGACTATAGCCATACATATTTTAGGAAAAAATTACTTCCAGATTATTTCCTAACACTCTAGTCTAGGCTCTTGCATACTCAATGTGAAAATGCTCCCACTTTTCTTATTTAGCTTTTCTCTTTGAGAGGATTAATTTCAACTCAATAAGCAAGGAAGAACATATGGAGAAGCCAAAATAAGCTAAGGCAGTACTAACCCTGGAAACATACTGGGGTAACTGGGAGAAAGGTCTGAACACAAAACAAGTAGAGGAATTGTGATCTCAACACCCTCACAAATGCTGTAAGTTAAACGATTCCCCACTGGAGTGGCTCTCCTTCCTTTCTATGATGTAACAGAGTCCTGGTTAAGGAGTAGAATCAGAAATTGAGTTCACATTTACCATTTTTCTTAACTATATCCACTTCTTAAAACTAAAAAAAAAAAAAAAGATCAAGAAGTGTAAACAATTGTGTATAGAGTGAGGACTTAAGCATATTTGCATTGGAGAGTCTCACTATGCTTTCAAGTCAACATTAATAATAACATCTCATAAAATTTTGATAACTACTATTTAATCACCAGTTTTATGGATAATCTTTTCTTGTGAGTTTCCTGCTTATTGATTAAAATTGCCAAAGCCCTTATATTTAAGCTTATTTCACTCATTAGGCATCTATTTGAGTGGCTAAAGTGGAAGGAAATTCCTAGACCAGAATCTTAAAAACCCAGTCACCTCATCTTTGCCATTGATGAAAGCAAAATTTCAAATGAAAATTTAAAATCTAGTTTGTTTTCTTATATAAAGTGGGGAAGATTACTCTTTGTGTTCACCAGAGGATTTATTAGTATCTTGATTATTTCAATTGTACAATGTTGACTGTACAATGTACAGCAGAAAAGTGGATTTCATTAAATTTAGAGGGTTTTTTTTGCCTAAAATGTTTTATATAATACAAATTAGTAAAATCTTTATATGCTCTCACATTCCATAGTAATAACTGTTATCCCAACTTTTCTCATATTTGAGAGTGCATGTTGATTACTTTTCTTCATGCTAAAAACAATATTATTCAAATATGACTTTTGGGATCTAAAAAGTAATCATCACCACACAACTAGTTGAAAAAGTTAATAAAGAATAGCAGTTACATTTATGCTCACCTTCTGAAATAATTAATTAGTAATATTCAAAAAGGCACATTCTGGTAGTTGAAATATATAAGGCCTTACAGCAGTATCATAAAAGGCATTTTGGGGAAACTCTTCTGGGCAATGTTTTTACCAATTTGACATAAGATCTAGGGACTACTTTCTATGGCAGACAACTCAGCTCTGAAACAAAACACCAGTTTGAGATGTCTATATGATACTTTTGAATTACAGTAATACAAACTATGGATACAGTAAAAATATGAAATCAAGATAAACTTCAATGGATTGGATTTAAACACAATAATTCTAAGCATTTACTATCTTTTGATTATTGTATGTTGCATCAATTCAGTAACTCCACTGATCAAGTACTCACATTTTGACTTTTGATTAAATAAAACTTTGAATTAAAAACTTCCTCTTCTAGTGTTGTGTATTTGTTTAACTGCAGATGATAGCAGATCACATAACACCACCCTGCACCCCACCCCAGAAAAAAGAAATAACCTTCCAAAGAACTCTGTACAAATAAAACCACAGGAATATCTATAGGATGAATATAAAAATACAGGTACACAATACTTCACTTTTTTTCTGATACCCTTTGTAGGATTACATTTACATGAATGTTTTATCAGTGGCATCAGATAAATGACAGGAATATTGAGTGCTCTTGTGATGATTCAGCAGTAAAAGGTACCTGCATGACAGAGAATCCCTATTATATAAGTAGTTCATATCAGGACCAATTAACAATAACTTGAATGTCTAATATATTCGGAGCAATGGGAAAGAATCTTCTACTTTGGGGAGCAAATAAAAAGTAAAAGTACCTATGTTTAAAAGGAAGTTTGGTAATCCCTATATTCTACACCCACATGATACTTAATATAGTAGTGAATATTAATTGCCTAAGGCAATTAATACTAGAAAAAATTGAAAATGGGTACACAACTTAGTACTAACTTTTCATAGAAATTTTATGCTAACCTAATTTCTAGTTAACATCCCATTTAAATAAATTCCAAGGTAAATAATCTCATAGCCAGAGCATGTTATCTCACAAAGAATATAAAAATTAGATCAACTAAACTTTCCAGAAACACCAAATTTTAAATTAAAGGGAATCATATGCAAATTTTTAAATGGCTACTTTACTAGAACTGTTCTTCTAATACCTGGAAATATATAAGCAACTGTTTATGATAAGAAGTAATATTTGTCCCATATGCCTACAAAGTTTTAAAAATCTCACTGCCTAGGTTACTTTGAAAAAATATTTTCCAGAAACTAACAAAATGAAGAGTAGCACTTGCTGGTTTTAAGATGTTATTGGTTTGAGAGACAGCAATCCCCTAGAAGTACAGCTACTGTTGTAGCAAAGGAGCTTAACTGAAATTGAGTTTAAATAGCAGAAATATCTTTATTGATACACATTTTAGTAAATCCCTATTCTAAAACACTTATTTTAATCTGGAATTGAATATCAGAGGAGAGATGTGAGGTATGGCAACTTGGATGAATTATAAAAAATACCTTTAAGAAATTAAAGGTAGGGGTTGGGGGCAGGTATGACTCAGTGGTAGAGGGAGTGGCTAACATATTCCAAGGCCTGGGTTTGATTGCCAACATTGCAAAATAAATAAAATTAAAAACTAAAAAGGTAGTTACTAAAGTGACAACTACCTGAAAAAAGAATACAAAGAATATGCAATACATTCATTACATATTTATGTAAACTGTTGCTGACATAAAAAATTTTCATTAATGTGTAAGTTTTCCTTATGCCTTCTGAGTTTTAAAATTACTACATAAATTGCATTAGTTATACTATTTGGAAGAGTTAACTTAATTCTTTTGGCTAAACATCCAATAATATTTGGAGCTGCAAAACAAAATTACTTAAATGTTTTATATTTTATCAATTGTAATCTTATCTGTACTCAATTTTTTATAGACCTATATGAATTGGCTCAACTTTGGTCACTCTTCCACTTTTAACATAGCAGTTTAGCTCCATCTAGAGTAAAAGCAAATATAACCAAGTGATATTTAAATATTCATGTAGTTTATCTATGAGAAAAAAAGGTTTAAATATAAGGAATTGATGTTTATTTATTTTCTAAGATTGAAAAAACAAAGAAAATGTTTTATTATTTGTAATTTTATTTAGGGTCAAATGTTTGCAGTTGAGACACTAAATGTTTCCTGTTCTGTTCCTGGGATAAAATTTTTTAAAAATCCAAGGCAGTTTTTTTCAATAATGTAAGGTGATTTCATCATTAAGAAATATTTCAAAAAGGGGGGGGGGTAGATATTTTGAGCATATCATCACAATAAGGGAATACTTGAGTATTAATATAGGCATTATAGGATAAGGCAGTAAACATATTGTTTACCACCATTTTTATTTTGATGGTGGTGAAAAAGGTTGACTCCATTTGGTTTGCTAGAATTCAAGAGAGAAGGGAAAGTACTAGTTTAAATGGCATGCTGAGATTGTAAAGATCCCAGATTTAAGTAATTTTCGAATGGTAAAAAATACACCTTGATCTCAAGCATAAACTGAATTTTGATGCAGAAGGGTTACATATAAATTTACTATCCAGTACTTAAATTATGTAAGATTAAAAAGCATGGTATATCTTTACTTCCAATATTAAAATATTAATCATTTCTTTATGAATTCCAAAGTTAAAACTATAGATTATAAATTTTGTGGCAGTAAATTATTATAAAAATACAATGCTTTCTATCAAAAATGTGCAGGAGAATAATGTATATTAATCATCTGAGAATCAGAAGTAATTTTATGAATTACAGAATTATTAGATAATAATTCTGATTAATATTGAGCTAAGCTATTCTGAAGAGGTAGTTCTGAAGTGTACAGATACTGCAGAGGTGAATTATTCACCTAAATATTTAATCTTCCTCATAGCTTATATATGAAAACACAGTTTAAAAATTACATTTCAAATAATTTTAGGTCCCTGATTTTTAAAATATGTATGCTGGAACATATATATAATAGATTATGAATACATAATGAAAAGGAGAATTGGACTAAGTAATAAAGTTGAGTATCAGGGCTAGAGGGACCCACAGACATAGAGAAAGTTGCATGACTGGTAGGTCAGAAAATGCTTTCCAGGATGAAAGTGAAACACTTGGAGAGGACAAAAACACCTAAGGAATCTTAATACATAGTTAAACTTCATCATTCAAAGAGCTGGACAGAATTTTAATTCTTTCAATGCCAAAAATATGCCTCTATTTTAACTCTGAAGATGTATGGCAAAGCAGAATTTTGAACTAATGAAATTCCTTTATAGTCAGTTTTAATGGGACAGATTAATTTCATTAAAATTTTAATGTGGTATTTAGAAAACATGGAAATAGTTAAAAATCATATAAATACAAAATAATTTTTAAAAATCTTTTAAAAAGATATTTAACAGCTATAATCCTGAAAGTAACCCTAAATCAGCACTTTCCTCCCATTAAAAAAAAAAAACCTGAAAAGTTGATTGAATTTTCTGACAAGCAGGTTAGGAAGACCAACAACCAGTCTAAAGTCAGTAGCAAAAATTCTAATTCTCTCCAATTAATCTCCTTTTGAGAAATGTTGCATTAGTTTCTAGCCCACCTTTGTTACAAATAATATTAGAAGAAAAAACACAAAGAAGGCTTGTTCATTATTTGGACTTTCAATTAAAAAATCTTTTAAAACATGTCACTTGCTATTTATCAGTTAACATTAGGTCTCTGTGATCCTGTATATTTTAAACAAAGATGCTTCTGTTATTTTAGGCAAAATATCCAAAATATCATTCTACATAAGCCTTACTGCAAAATAGTTTTGACCTGGATTTCTCTATGGTTTACCTTCTTTTTAAGGAAGTCTATCTTCCTATTAACTGATTCCACTTCTAACCAAAATAAAAAATATTCTGATTCTAAAAAAAGAAAAACAGCTTTTATCTTTAAAACTTTTTCACTTGAAAAACTATAACTTGTGACCCACCACTCTCTTAAACCACCATTTTTAATCTAGTCGTTTAAGTCTATTTGTTAAGGACTAAAATCTTCTGCTAATCTCATTACCTACCTGGAATCTTGTTTCCCCATTTCCTTAAATGATTTAAACTTTGGGAAATGACTGATGACTCTTCTACTATTATTAAGTATTATAAAAGGAAAACTGATGTTGACATGCATATTCCAAATATAGGTTTTAATGGCACCTACGTGGCTCCCTTTCATTATTTTAATCTTTTATATTCTAGAAATTTAAAACCAACCCTTAAAAGGTTATGAAAAAAAAAAAAAAACAAACCCTTAACCTAACACAAATCAATCACATTCAGGACATACTGAATGAAATATTTCCTTCATAATCCAGCTTTTAGTTTAACGGACATTGTTCAATATGGCACCTCTGAGACCTGACATTATCTTGTCATACTTAAAATTTGCTTCATACTTCTAATTTATTTAAATTTACCCTGCTCCCCATTTATCACATGTATAAAATATTCCGGGTTTCCTCTTATTATTAACAAACTAATAATTTTTGTCATCAGAAGTGGATCTTTGTCTTTCTCACTCCCATCACTCAAAATATACCAATAAATAATGATCAGATTAAGAAACAGCATCTTAAAAAAAGAATGTGCTTTCTTTTCCCTAGAGTCTCCACTATACAATTTGTGAATGATATCTCTGTTATATATCATACCACTTACATATCTGCCCTTGGGAGATTTCACCTTAGTCTTCTAAGATTCTACCTTGAATGGTTATAAATGTCAAGAATTAAAGAAAAGCAGTTACTTTCATAAGACCAAAATACTGGATAAAATGGTCTTGTCAATATGGCTTAACATTAATATGGCTATAACATAGGGACTAGTCCCTGTTTTCTTTATTAACATTGTGAACTGATCACAATTTTTTAAAGTTTAGACTAGTTTTCCATATGTTTTACATATTTTTATTCTCACATCATATCTCTTAAAAACAAAAGGACGCAAACATTTGCAGTTATCAATGCCTTTTCCTTTAGATGTAGTTTCATTTCCTTCCTTCAGGCTTTGTTACCAAGAAGTAAGGTTTGAGTTCAACACTGTCCATTTGTTGTGAAAGTATCAGAAGGAGTCATCTTCAAACCAATACTCCAGATGGACTTATTCACTGATTAGCTGCATAATTTCTTCTAGGACATTTGTAACAGACACAACATACACAGGATTTCAGTTTGGGTTGTTTTTTTTCCCTTTTTTTTTTTTCTTTTTTAAAATAAGTGTGTTTCCAGGTTCTCACTCATATTTTCTTTTCTTTGAATGTATTGCACAATATTTTATTATTAAAAAAGGTTTTATGTCTCAGGCAAAAAGTTTATCTCCTTCCCTCAGGAGTTGCTAATGTGTATTATTTTCTAAAAGAGGTAAGTGGTTGTCTGTGTGGCCATCCTCAAAGGGAACCTAAAGGGAAAAGGGAGAAAAAAGACCAACTCATTAGTTTTATTCCTTATACTATTTTCTCTAAACACAAAGCTGTATTTTGGGTAATTCTTTCTAGGCACAAAAAGTGACTATTGAGATTTAGAAATGATATTATGATTCAGAGATCAACACCATGTATATAATATCACTTACAGAATGGACAGATTTATAGGCTCCAAGTCTGAAACGACAGCAAATTATTTCAACTATAAATTTTCCAATTCCATGTAACATGCCTGTAACAAAAAATGTTTATGTTTTTAAATTATTCTGAAATTGCTATACATGAATAAAAAACTCAACTATAATGAAATAAATTAAGGAAGGAAACAAAGTTGTTTGTATTATTCTTTTTCATGGTTAAAAACTAAGACAGACAGTAAGGCACAGTGGGGCATGCCTGTAACCCCAGCAGCTCAGGACACTGAGGCAGGAGGATCACAAGTTCAAAGCCAACAGTTGCAACTTTGTGAGGCTCTAAGCAACTTAGCAAGACCCTGTCTCTAAAAAAATATAAAAAGGGCTGAAGATGTGGCTCAGTGGTTAAGTACCCCTGGCTTCAATCCCCAGTACCAAAAAAGAAAAACAATAAATAAATAAGAAGATAATTATACATTTAAAAACAAATTAATGTTTTTTCAAAATCACAAGGCCATATAATTCATGACCTTGACATAATCTTTTCAAGGTTTTCCCCTATAATTTTGAAAATAAATTATTAACACATGTTTAAATAAAGCACAAAACAAGGAATTACATAGAAAAGTTATTCATTTGTTTAAAAAAATATGCTTAAGAATATGATGCCTTGCTGGGAGCAATGGTGCACACCTGTAATCCCCACGGCTCGGGAGGCTGGAGCAGAAGGATCAGGAGTTCAAAGCCAGCCTCAGCAAAAGAGAGGCGCTAGGCAACTCAGTGAGGCCCTGTCTCTAAATAAAATATAAAATAAGACCGGGGATGTGGCTCAGTGGTTGAGTGCCCCTTAGTTCAATCCTGGGTATCAAAAAAAAAAATGATGACTTGGAAATCTAAGGCAGGATGATCACAAGGTTGAGGCCATCCTCAGTAACTTAGCAAGGTCCTAAACAACTTAGCCGGACCCTGTCTCAAAATGAGAAATATAAAAAGGGGTGGGAATGTGGCTCAGTGGGTGAGCACCCAAAGGTTCAATCCCAAGTATCAAAAAAAAAAAAAAAAAGATTTCAAGTATATAAACCATTCAACTCCATGTAATACAAACAGGAACTAAAGATGAAAAAGGAAGTGAACTTTTTCTCTACTTTACCTATTATGCTTAAATCTCAAATTTTCATCATTACAATTCTGCAAATGATCTTTAAAAGAATTTCAGAATTTGGGGCCAAAAATCAAAACACTATTGATTGAAAAAAATCCCACATACTACAAAGTTGAAAGTAGCATAAGATATGATTTTACACAGTATAAAGCTTAAATGAAAAGGAAATTTGAACTTAAGTGACTATTTCTATGCATTTTCTCATTTAACTCCATACTACACTTACAACTTATATCTTTCATTGTGATTTTCACAGATGAGAAAACAATTCCAGAAAAGGTAGGTGACTCATTCAAGGCTACCACCAAGAAAATGGGCTGATTTAATTCTAGTTCTGTCTTCTGTTAACCCCCAGGATATTTGTAGCTTACCAAATATCCCTTCAATTAGTGAATGCTGTGAAATTAGTTACTCTTAATGGTGAGTCAATATAATTTTAGAGGTTTGAAATTAACATTAAACAAAAAGTTCTTCAAATATTAAAACATAAGAATGTGTATATTGCCCCTTTTAAGGAGAAGTATCTTAAGTGTAATTAATAGACACTTTTTAGAAATTAAGACAGAGAAATGACTGTTAACCTGTTGTTGAAAAGATTCCTCCAACAATACCACAAAGTCTTACAAAAAACTGCCAGAATGGCATATGCTCCTCAGTAACTGTCACCATAAGAGAACTGAGATCATATTTCATAAATATCCCAGAGACTCCATGGCTGCCTGCAGCATGGTTAATGATACGTTCCTAAAAGGAAGGGGAGGAAAAGGAGGAAGAGAGAAACAAAATTTGTTATCTGAATGTTAACATATATCGGCAGTATTAAGTTGTACAACTCTACTATACAAGACATTCAAAATTCTTTATGAATTATCCTACCAGATTAAACTCTTCAGACACAGTTATTCAGTATTCTTTGTGTGGTTAGCTTCTGAAACTATCAAAAGAGCAAAATTATTCTTTCTTATAGTTTTTCTTTTTTTTGCAGTATTGGGGATTGAACCTAGGGTGGAGGGTGGGGGTGTTTTACCATCAAACTATATCCCCAGCCCTGCCTTTTATGTTTTAAGATAGGGTCTTGCTAAAATGCTGAGGGTGGCCTCAAATTTGTGATCTTCCTGTCTTAACCTCTGGAGGTGCTGGGATTACGGGCATGTGCCACCACACCTGGCTCATTCTTTCCTATTTTCTCAAATAGGTCAGCTTACATTTGAGTTTTATACTAAGTCCAAGAGCTTACAACTGAATAGCATGTTCCTCATTGACCAAAACAATAAGAACTAAGTTTATATTCTGATATAGTTTTGTAGTATTTATCTGCTAGGAATTTACAAAATAATCATATTTCTTTCCTGTCATTTATGTCATCAAATTTAAAAAAGCAAATAATTTCAGTTTCTGCTGTTCATTTTGAACTACATACACAACATGAAAAAAAGACAATGCACTAAGTTGAAAGATAATATTTGAACAACTGTTTCAGTTTTAAAAGGATTTAAACAAACAAACAAACAAACAAACAAACAAACACGAATGCCACTAGAATCATAGATCTACCAGTGTAAACATTAAGGAAAAAAAAATCTATTTCATTCCATCCTGCTTATACTTCAAAACTCAAGTTTGGAAACTAATAATTTTCTATTATGGCTCCAAACACTATGCTACCATAGTGCATTGTTATAACTTTTGTGCCAGATTCTGTTTGTAGAAGTTTTAACTAAACTGTATGCTTTTAGGAATACAAGTGATATAATTATTTACCAAGATAAATTCAAACATTTTTATGTGGAGCATTACAAAACCCTTTCCCCTATTATTAGCACAACAGAACCTTACAAGGTACTGATCAAATTTTTAATAATGACTTTACCTTAAAGCTCTGATATGCTCAATATCATGTTGAAGTTACCACATATATGGATATGCTAGAGACTGCGATGTCCATGTAACAAAAGACTAATGATTTACTTTGGGTTCCAAGACCAAAGATCAGCCTCTTTCCCTACCCCTCAATCCTGCACTTTACCAACTCATCACTTCTTTACTCAAGTGAAACACAACTAATTTGGTCATCATATCAGTATTCACATCCCTCTAAATATTAAATGCTCTGAGATTCTAATATATACCTATTTTTGGGGTGGGGTACTAGGGATTGAACCCAGGGCACTCAACCACTGAGCCAATTTCCCACCCTATTTTGTATTTTACGTAGACACAGGGTCTCACTGAGTTACGTGGTGCCTTGCTGTTGCTGAGGCTGGGTTTGAACTCACCATCCTCTTGTCTCAGCCTCCGGAGCTGCTGGGATCATAAGCAGGTACTACCGTGCCCAGCTATATTTTTTTTACTTTTTATTTGGATTTGTTATTTTTAAATATATTCTGGTATAATTTCATATCAGTATATAGAGATCTTTTTCATTCTTCCCTTTTGAAGATACGTGTTCTTCTATTATATAGATGTACAGCTTGGATTGTTTCTAGTCTTTATTATTATAAATAACAATACAATAAATAACCTTTACAATACAATAAATAGGTAAATTCTTTAGAAAAAGAATTCTTCTAAATTCTTTACAAAAAGAATTACTAGGAAAGGGTTTGCTAGGTCAAATGATAAATGCATACATCATTGTGCAGATAGTGCTAAACTTCTTTTTACAGAGACTATGACACTTTACATTCTCATAGCAATACATGTGTCTGTTTTCTCCAAAGCTTATAGTGTCTTCCAGATGTTTGTTAATCTTAAGGTGAAAAATATCTCCCTATTCTTACAGAAATGTTGAAAAGCACAATATATACTTATATACATTTTACCTAGTTTGTATATACACACAAAAATAAACAAATACACACAATTATATATACTTGGTTTTTCTCCCTGAGCCACTTGAAAAGTTAGACACAAAATTTCACCCCTAAAAAAACCCACCTAATTTCAGAACATGGAAAATTCTACAATTATTAAGAACCTGGTCATAATAAGTTACAAGTATACAAAAAGAAAACTACAAATGAAGAAAAGAAAATTTTAAAAAGCACTTATTTTTTGTCGTCTTGCAATTCTTCTTGATGTTAGTATTTGAATGTTTACAATTCTTAAACATAAAAACAAGAAAATAAGGGCTGGAGATGTAGCTCAATGGTAAAAGTACTTGCTTAGCATGTGCAAGGCCCTGATTTTTATATTCAGCTCCACAAAAAACAAATAACAAAGTAGGTAAGAAATCTATTAAACTTTTCAGTTCTAAAATTCTGCTCCATCATTGTCAGTCTTTATTTATAAAACCACACTATTCTGAGGTTCCACAACACTTTATCAGATAACTACAAAGCACTAACTTAGAGGAGGCAAGCCCTCTAAATTTGCTATCTGATGTATAAGAACCACATATGTTCCATGGTAGGAACATTTACTAAAAAATAAATAACAGAAGGCTGAGTTGGGGCTCAGTGGTAGAGTGCTTGCCTAGTACATATGAGGCACTGGGTTTGATCCTCAGACCACATAAAAATAAATAAATAAATAAAATAAAGATATTGTGTCCATCTACAACTAAAAGAAAATATTAAAAGTAAATAAACAGCAAAGACATCAGAAAATCTGCTGGCCAATTAAGAACAATATAGAGGAAAAAATATTATAAAAAGTAAACATGTTAAAAAGAGTAAAGACATTATGAATAAGTGATGTCATCATAGTTTAATGATTCAAAGTTTTCATTGAATAGAAACATTTCAGATTTTTAAAAAATTCTGTTCTCACTCTAGAATATACTAATACTTCTGATAAATTTTCAGCTTAAAAAAAATGTTAATTCATTTCAAAATTCCTACAAATTTTAAAATGAGAAAAGGAACCAACTAAATTTGAACCTTGTACCTGGGGGGCTATAAAACACTAACAAAAAAATTAAAAAATAATTTTACCAATCAGAATCAACTTACCCTTTCTGTCACAGAGAACTGATGGGTATCTGCTGAAATTTTATATGTATGTAGTTTTGTTGGCACAACTGTAATAAAATATTGGAACATCTGGTTGTCTAAAATAAAAACAAATTATTTTTTTATCAATCCAATAGCAATAGAACCAGATATATCCTTCTTCTAGCAAATACATTAAACTTAAAATTTAATATTATATTTGACTTAATGTCTAATAAAATGAAAATATACTCATGGTTGCACTTTCTTTCTCTTGCTCTTTCTTTTTCTCTTACACATACACACACAATATACAAACATACAATGTTAAAAAATATGAATTAGTGATTTAGTTAGGCTAGTAGCCCTTATAATCATTATCATTCTCATATGAAATGTGGAAAAATAAAGGTAACATTTCTTTGTAGTACAGGAATATGAGTAAAATAAAATTACAATAGTATAATCATCATAATTTTCAGTTTCTCCTTTTATCTTAAGATACACTAACAAACTTCTAAATGACTACTATGAAATTAAGAGGGTCATTTTTATGGCATGCCTAGGTTTAACACAAGCAAAAAATACCAAATAACAAAGTAGGTAAGAAATCTATTAAACTTTTCAGTTCTAAAATTCTGCTCCATCATTGTCAGTAATTGGTAATACTTAGTAATTGGTAATACTGGTAATGAAGTAATCTTCATTCTCTAGGTATATTCTAAAAAATTAGGTGTGTCTGTAGATGAGCAATGAGGCCACATTATGTCCAAAAGAAAACAGATGTACTTCACTCAGCATAGTAATTTTCTTCTAAAAACTAACTATGTATAAATATAGTAATTTAAAATTAATGTTAAAGAACCAGATGAATAGTTTCTTTAAAATAAAAATCCTAGTCCTGTGGGCTGGGGATATAGCTCAGTTGATAGAGTGCTTGCCTCATATGCACAAGGCGTAAGTTCATTCCCCAGCACACCCCCCCCCACACACACACACACACACAATCCTTGGCCATTTCCCCAGAGACTCTAATTTAAATGGATAAGATGACCAGGAATATGCACTTTTCACAAAGACCTCAATAATTGTGATAGAGAGCAGCCCAAGAATACTTTAAAAAAAACTAAATATTTACTTACCTGGTCATATTGTAGTAAAAAATAAAGAGTTAAATTACTATGTAACAGGAACCCTCAACAAATCTTTCTATAAGGCAAAGTTAGTGGGAATGTAACCTGAGTTTTAATCAGTGTTTTGCCAATTACTAGGTTTACAGTTTCAGACAAGTCAATTAACCACAATTTCTAATTTTCAAGAAGGGTACGACACAAACTGGACAGAGCATATCCTACTTAAAATGGACATCTATTCATCCCCATGTAATACCAGAAGCACTATTTTAAAAAAGAATCCAAGAATCGGTATCTACATATGTGATCTTTAAAAAATCAAATGTAGTAATAAATTAAACATATTTTAAAATACGACAAACAAAATAAACCCGCAAGGCAAATATGAGTCATGGAAGACAGTATACTGGTTTGTGTACACTTCTTTCTCCCTGCCTTTGCCCAAGTTCACCAAGAACAGAATGTACTTCCCTTCACTGATTTGGAGCAATTTAGGCATGTTTCATGGAAGGTTGATAGCCTGAATTCTGTAGAATTAAGTTTATAAAATGAGGCATATCTCATAAAGAATTCTGTAAGTTTTGGCACACAGAATTAAATGAAAAGATGATACGCTTAAAGACCAACAAAGTCTGTGAGTGTGCATTAAAAGAAAATACATGTTTAAGCTAAAAATTTAAAAACTTATGGATTCACAACTTTTATATAAACTGGATGTAGGCTGAGAGAGGTGTTTTGCTACTAAGAAAGGGATATCCTCCGTGCCCTCTTTAGATATGGCCAAAAAAGATATGGGAAAGTAGGAATACTTTTCAGAGGACAAAGCAAAGAGAAATGAAGAAAGCATGGGGGATTAGGGAAACCTGCCTAGAAGCAGAATAGGACAAAATCAACACACATCTCCATTCCTAGAGCAGGGAAATGTTACATTTGTCCAGTTGAATTAGAAAACTGCTATAGACCACTGACTCATGTGTCACTCCTTCCTTGCCTGTTTTGAATGGGAATATTAGTGCAATTATAACACTATCTGTGCTCCAAAAGTGTAAGGTAGGTCCTTAAAAGGTATAGTTGATGAGCTATATCCCAACCTTTATTTTTTACTATGACCAGAGAAGAAAAGGCAATCAAACATTTTCAGAAAAACATGGAAAATAAACTAATATTTTTATTGAAATTCAATGTTTAAAAAAACACTGAAAGAAGTTATCTATCCTATAATGTAGTACTTTTGACTATATTAATAAGTCTTTTTGTTGGTGAATATAGAAAAATGCACTTATGCCCAATTAACATATCAACCTTTCCTATATTTTGACTGTTAAAATTCTCTTTCCCCTGCCTACTCATAACTCTAATTTCTTTATTCTGTTCTATGACATTATTTGTTTTGCAATTCAGGGAATAGAAGCCAGGGTCTCATGCATGCTAAACAAATGCTCTACCAGTGAGCTACACCCCAGACTTTAGATAAGATTACAGGTGTGTGCCACCAAGCCTGGCTCTGTACTATAACTTATTTTTTAGCACTCAAATTTTGTGCAATTCTAGGACAAATTCTCTCTACATAAATAATTATTCAGCCATCTAAAGATTATCTTTACTAGGGGGTAAGAGGATAACTAAAAACATACTAATAGTAAGGTTATAAAAGCCATTTCCTACATGTAAATTACAAGAATAATTAATAAATACTTACGATCTATAGTAATTTTTTCAGTTCCATCTAAAGGATTAATAATTCCTGGAATAAGTTCTCCAAAAGACAAATGATCTATTCTGTGAGAAAAGTTGTAAGCTAAGAGACAAAAAAAAAAAAAAAAAGACAAAACAAAAACTAAGTAGAGAAGTTATATTATTCAAAAATACATGTTACAGATTGGTTTACATTTTTATCTATTCTCAAATGAAAATATCTAAACTTTACAAATATAATACGTTATTTAAAACAACATTAAGTTGAGAAAATGCATCAGGATTAAATGTGTAAAAGTAAATTCTGATAAAAAACTGTCTTAAGTTTTATAATTTACATGCAAATTAAATTCTAAGAAACAGTATTACATTTAATCCTGAGAGCAAAAAAAATTTAGATCTTTCTTGATCCAATAAATTATACAGTTACAAGATTCTGTTTTTACATGAATTGGGATGATGTTCGTCTGGCTAAATGATGAAGCTGATCATATATAGTTTTCACATACATCATTGCTATAACTAAACTTAGATTTTTATGGAATTTATTTTGTTGTCTATAGCTGACTTTAAAAGTAACTCTTCTCACAATCATTATATCAAACTAACTTTATACATACACATGAATATGGCCACATTTAGATAYAAAAATTGAACTAAACTTCAAATATATTCTCTTGTCTATAAAAATTAGTGGAACTGCATACAAAGTGATACAAAGTACATCTAGGCCTTCATCCCCAACCTTAGAAGTATCTGAGCTATTAGCAAACTGAAGTAAAAGCAGATTAAAGACAAAAAATGGATTAGAGTAAAAAAATTCAATAATTAATTTTCTCCTCTGGAGAACATCTGTTTTTAAAAAGCTTACTTTCAAAACCCTACTTTGCACCTGCAATAAAACAAACAAAAACATACACCAAATAAAAACTCCATATTTTTCTTCAAAGACATCTACACTGAAAAAATTTCAGAAACTACTTACAGTCATGGTTGACAAGTGCTGCTAAATGTGCATGACCTCGAGGATGTGGAATTGCCCTGAAAGGAAGGAAAAAAAATTAAAGTAATAACACTTAAAAAAATATAGCTAATTAAGGGGCTGGGGTAACAGCACACTGGTGTAGCACTTGCCTAGCATGTGTGAGGCACTGGGTTCAGTCCTCAGCACCACATAAAATAAATAAATAAAGGTACCCTGTCCATCTACAACTAAAAAAAACAATTTAAAAAAAAWATATATATATACACATAAAACTAACTAAAACTAGAAAGTGGATCTTTCCCAAGTTACATAATTGTTTATAGTACAAATAGAAGAATGTATGTGGCTTATGATTAAGAAGACAAGTCTTATCACCTTGGCAGTATAAGGAACTGGAGTTGGCAAACATTTTTCTGTAAGGAAACAGGTAATAAATATTTTGGGCTCTGTGGGCCAAGATACAATATCAAAGCTATTACATAGAATATAAATTCTCATACACTTTTATTGCTGAAACTCAAAATAATAACTTAATACTACTTTTTGTAATGTAAGTGTTTAACAGGGAAGCTACTTTTTCCTTAGTGTTCCTATTTTCAAAACTGATTACAAGTGTTTATCTGTTAATGATGATCTATAATGAAATCTTACATATTTCAAATTTGAAAATATAAATCCATGACTTGTTTGAATTGGGCATATTCATTACTTGGAAGGTATTTCAGCAATACTTATTAGATTCTGGGTATTTGCTTTTAAGCATGTCATTCATTACATAACAGCTTAATAATTTAAGGCAGAATTTACTCAACTGTATAGTTACAAGGATTTTTAAAACACAGAAATTTCCTTTGCACTTAAAAGTGCTTGAAAACACTTTTGGAAGTACAATTTGAGATAAGAAAATATATCCAAGTAGAAGAATGGAAATCTAATTCCTATTTAAACTTTTAACAACACAATCTGTGAAAGCATTAAGAGCAAAAGAAATTACTCAAAAATCACTTAATAGTATTTGTATCAAAATAACCTTTACCACAATATAAGCTTCATATATAAACTGTTTTTGCCTTATGACTTTAGGTTAAATTCATCAAGTAACCTTACTGAGCACACATAAAACTAAATTTCCAAAGCTACTCTGTTTGGTAATAGTGGTAGATGATATTTTCTCACTAAAAAAATTTTCATCTTGGTAGTGAGCTTAAGAAAAAAAAAGAGCAATAAAATTTTACCTTCGCAAAGCCATCAAATTCCTGTGTAGTAGGGCAAGTTAGAATATTCAGCTTTTATTTTTAACAAAAATTCATGGAAATTACAATATTTAAGTCCATGAAAGCAAATTAAATTTACCACTACCAGTTAAAAATACATGATAAATTTAAATATTTTCTGTAAAATACTGATAAAAAATGGATAACTATAGGCTTTTAAAAAAGTCTGTATTTTTGGGCTGGGATTGTGGCTCAGCGGTGGTAGAACACTTGCCTAGTATGGGCGGGATCCAGGTTTGATTCTCAGCACCACATAAAAATAAAGGCATTGTGTTGTGTCCATCTACAAGAAAGATTCATTCTCTCTCTCTCAAAAAAAAAAAGTCTATATTTTCACAATTTGAAAATGTACTCAAGCAAATCTTTTCCTGCTATTACGTTATTTTTACATCATCAGTTGTAACACATCTTAGCAGATTTCACTTTATGTTGTACTGAATTTGTACTTTCTTGATTCCTTTAAAAATATTCTTCCCTAAGTTATTCCACATAGACTAATCAAAGATTCTAATTTTAAATTGTTTTAAACTCAACATTAACTTCTCAAATAAAAAAACAAACACTACTGGTAACTCCTACCTACTCATCAATTGTTTAGTAAAACCACTCAAAATCACTTGTCTTTTTTTTAATTGACTATTAGCTACTGCTATTAAGGTCCAACTGCTATAGCACTTTCCTTGCTGAAGGCTAATTACCTAAAGCAAATTTATTTTCTCTGAATATACTGTTTCAGCTGCATTAAATTATCAGTACATAGCTTTCCTTCCTTGGCTAACCGATGAGACACTCAGAAACTTACATTAATTGCAACCTCACTTTCATATTTTATTTTTATGAAGAATTTCTAGATATTCTATTTTCTAATTTTTCTGACCATTGTGTTTCTATGAGTTAGGTTAACATCCAATAAAATTAAAATTTTATGCAACAAAGCAACTCCCTATGCACTGAAATAACTAATAGTTTAGTCTGGTAAAGTGCTGTGTGTTCAAGGTAATGTATATTACCTCAGATTTACTATTAAAACAAAGTCTATTGTTGTAGGCTATTCCTATCCCCACAAAGCATATCATTCTAACAGTATTCCTACTAAAATTCTAAACAAATTTTTAGACAGGAAAATTTCTGAATAATCACATTATAACATCATATCTGACTTCAATGGTCTCTCTCTCACACAGTCTCACAAACCTGTATTTTATTCTGAGAGGAATAGAGAACAATTTTAAATTATGCCTCTTTTTTATTTCCTTCTTAAATTTTTGTTAAGACACACTTAAAAATTTATGAAGTAATAGCATAAATATACATCTCCCTTTAAAAAATTAAAAGGTAAAAATCAAATTAAAGAACTGGGGTTGTGGCATAGTGCTAGAGCACTCGCCAAGCACGTGCAAGGCACTGGGTTCGATCTTCAGCACCATGTTAAAATAAAGGTACTGTGTCCAGCTACAATAAATAAATAAATAAATAAATAAACAGACACATAGATAGATAGATAGATAGATAGATAGATAGATAGATAGATAGATAGATAGATAAAATTAAATCATTCCTAGTACATGATAGCAGTTCTCTGACCCTTGTTAAAGCTCTTCTTAGGGAAGTTAGATAACTAACAATTTACCTATTTCTTTCCTGGACACTGTAATTTCTACCCCATCAGACAGGAAATCTAGCCCAAATGATCTTTCAGTGGAGAAAAAGTTATTCTGAAAATTGGGGTTGGGGAGATGCATTTCTGATTGTGACAATTATTGGGAAGGGGTTGCTACTGGCATTTGTGGACAACAGCCAGAAAAACAAAACAAACTGCAAAGAAAATCAATTAAAAAAAAAATTTGTTCTTCATCTTACCTAACTTTAAAATGCTCTAAGAGACATTCACATACGTGAAAAACCTATATATAATTACCTTAGACTAGAACCTAATTCCATTTAGTTTCACAAAGTACTTGCAGGAATTTCAATATACACTAAATTTCCCAAGAAACTGAGTGAATATTATATTATTTTGTTCACAACATTAAAGAGAGTTGTTCATTATTCCAGAACAACATCTCATCAACAAAAATGCTAATACACCTTTCACAATCTGATAGTATAAGTTGCAAACATCTGCCTGCTTCCTTATACTTTCTAGTATATTCATTTGCATGCTGAAATACATATTATAAATTATATTATACATAATAAAAATCTCTCTTATATTACAATTAGAAATGGCACTATGTTTGAGAGATAATACACAATTTTCAAAATGATCAGTTCTGTACTTGACAAATCCAAGACCAAAAAGTTAGGAATGTGGTCACATAAAGACACCACTGAGTTGATAAGATACAAACCAAATGCTTTTCCATGGGGCCTCTCTCATTGAAAATATACGTTATCATCATGAGAGTGTAAGTTTTCATATTGGACTAGGATATACGCAAAGGTGTAATAAAATCTTCTAAATTTCTTTGAGCCAACTATTAGGCAATGACTAATAGTCATTGCTTCTATGATATTAAGAAGTTCTAAGGTTCTGAATAACAGATTGGGAATGGGTAGAATGGGTTCTGGCCATAGCAAACAAATAACAAAATCTGAGGGAGGAAATTTATTTATTCATTCAGAAATTATGTAAAATTTATTATTCTACAACTTCTATGCTAAATGCAGTTCATAAGAGCTGTGATCTGATATTTTTCCTTAAGTTTTGCCTAATTTAACTTTATTCCAGAATACTGCTGGCTTCTAACTATATCAAAATATTTGTCAAGAATTAGTCAAGGACTATGGGGTTGAGGTTGTGGCTCAGCAGTAGAGCACTTGCCTAGCACATGCTAGGCCCTGGGTTTGAGCCTCAGCACCAAATAAAAATAAATAAATAAAATAAAGGTATTGTGTCCAACTAAAACTAAAAAATTAAAAAAAAAAAAAAAGAATTAGTCAAGGACTAAATTTTGGTGAGGGATACTACAGGGTTTTAAACAAAATGAAAGCCTTAACAACATGACCAAATTAATGAAATGTCTAAATATGAGTTCTCTGGGTACTAAAATTTAGCAAGCAGAAAGTTTTAATTCGTATTTACCAATAGTTCATTTATTCTACTATATAAAATATGACATGACTTTTACTTTTGTCCTGAGGTAGTTTTTAAAGTTAGTATATTCTTCTATGTCCTGAAAATAAAGCCCTGCAAAACAATCTCAAGACATTAAAAATAGGCACACAACATTTTAAGTAGTCCTTTACTAGCTAGCTATATATTATCTTATTAGGGGAAAAAAATTTACTTTTAACCAAGCTCCAACCTTGTCTAAAGTATTTTTGGTAAATGAAAAGAACATACTTGCCCACAGTTATGTGAAAATTCCCTGCTACTTTATTAACATATAGATGACCACGAATTCTGCATGCATCTGGAGACTGTGATGAATCATCTTCCCTATTAAAACAAGATATATTAAGATTACTTAAAATACATTTGCTAATCATTCTGAGGTGAGAAAATTACATATAGAAGGAATAAAAGTCCAAAAAGATGAATTTCTAGATAATATCCTAAATGTCAAAAATAGCAGTTTCCTAAAGTCTCCGAAGTTAAAACAATACATCTACAAAATAGAAAAATATATATATATAATTATTACATATCTACTGTTTACACAAAACTGAAATTACATGTTTCTTTAAATCTAACCAGAGGACTAAATTCAATGACAGAAGATTAAAACAAAAGAAACAGTCCAACCAAAGATATACTTTCTTCATCTATTTCTGGCACTGAGGGAGAAAGGGGACAACAGGAATAAAACCAAGGTAAGGAAAGGGAATCCTTTCTAACTTTGAATAGACAATAACAATTTCTTCCTAAAAAAATGTAAAACCTCTGAATATTTTTAAAGTATCCTTTTCATGATTATAACTTTTCTTAATATCAGCTATTCTAACCTTTAAAAGAAAAATAAGAGAAGTAAACAAAGTTCCTAACCAAAATTTATGCATCCTCATAACAGTAATTGCAATTATTTTGTTCATAAAACCTAATTTTAATATATACATACATACATATATATATATATATGTATGTGTGTGTGTGTGTGTATATAAATAATAATAATTTGGCGAGGGGGAGGTACTAGGGATTGAACCCAGGGCTGTTTAACCACTGAGCATCACATCCCCAGCCTTTTTATTTTTTATTTCAGATAGGATCTCACTAAGTTGCTGAGACTGTCTTCAACTTCTCATCACTCTCCTGCGTCGCTGGGATTACAGGTGTGTGCCACTGTGCCTGACCCTAATACAATTTTATATGAAGGTATAACATAAAGTAAATAAGTAAAAGTGAAATAATATATTGTAATAGTCCTAATCAAAATTACAGGCTGCATACATAATAATAAAATAATATTTAACAGTGTATCTTTAATAATTAATAATTCATGATAGAATTATTAATGGTTCATAATGATAGTCAGTAATAAAAATTTTCAGAGTAAAAATTATTCCATTCTGAGAAAAAAAATAAGATTTAGAAAACTAAACCAATAGTAAAACCGTCAAATTAAATTCACAGTAAGTATAGGAAATTTGCAGATTTAAAATGCACATCTCACCTTGGTGGAAGTGCTGTTGATGCACTTTTAAAAGCACTTTTAAATATCACATCTTGAAGTGAATGCTCTTCTTGCAGCCTACTCTGAATCAGCTGCAGCATCCTAAATTAAACACAAATAATAATTTAGAAATATAGTAAGGTAAACAAAGATAGTTAATAGTTATTCAAAAATAGCAATGGTTAGTTGACTTAGCTAAACCATATATATTTAATATACAAGATTTTATTCCAAAATAAAGTATATAAAGTTTCCTCTATTTACTTCTTTGGAACCAAGAAAAATGAGGTGAGGTAGTTAGAGGTCTAATAGCTAGTACTAAGAAATCCATCTGATTTCATCAATAATGAACATGCAGTCAGGATTACCAAAAAAGTTCTACTTACCTGAATATCTAAATTCATCTTTCATACATATGTCCACAATTACAAAATTTTAACTTTTTGTCAGGCATTGAATTAAGTGTCACAGATACAAAAAATAAGACAAATAAGGGCATACAATAGACTTGATGGAATTGGAAATGATAGATTACTAGGATATAAACCCACATCACCAGCATCTACTTTTCATTTCAAACTAAATAATGAGACCATTTAAATATTACCTGGTGTCCTTCCCAAGACAGTTAAACTTTATTCTATGACAAGATCATTCTAAATAAAATATATTTCTTCCTACATAATTTTAAAAGTAATATCAACATATAAGCATAGGATTATAGAAAGCAAAGCATACATTGGAGAAAAAAATACTTAGGTTTTAATCTCCTTTAACATCTTTAAATAACTAACATCCCAAGTCATTTGTAGTAAAGTTCAAACTTAGCAAGTATAAAAATTAAATATGGGGGGGGGGGGAGGGATTAAGTAAAATGGAATTTTTAGGGCAGTGGAAGTTTTCCTTCCACAATGTGTTTTATTATACATTTGTCAACTTACAGAATGTACAATATAAAGAGTGAACCCTAATGTATACTTAAAACTATGCTAAAAGATAAAAGTCTGTTCATACACACATACACACACACACACACGCATCACTGAACTTGAATAAGGTATGTATAAACATAGGCACTTAAAAATGTAAATGTAAATCTGATAATAATTCACACTCCTCCACCAAATGATAAAATAAGCATTTTCTTGAAATGAAAGTGGGTGATAAAATATGTATGTACCACCCATCTAAATACTGGTATAACAGGGCTACTTAAAATAATTCATATTTACACTATAAATTTAGTTTAGAATAAATCTTAAATCAGGAGACTCTCATCACTATATAAAATATATGTATGAAGAAGTGAATTTGGTGTCAAGATACCTTATATATAATCAGAAATATGATAAACTATGATATTAATGGTGTATTAAGAACTGTAATGCAAAAATAAATAAATAAATAGATTTTTTTAAAAAAAATATTAAATCAGACTTTAAAAAGTAGAAATTCAGAAAGATTATCACCAGGGTTTGATTTTTTTTTTTTTTTTACAAAAAAGAATAATTGAGATCCTAAATATTTTAGGATCTTTGCCACCTGCACCTCAGATAGAACATTAATCTGAAGGATATACAAAGAACTCAAAAACCTTAACACTATAAAAACAACTAATCTAATAATTAGAGAAGAACTGAACAGATACTTCACAGAAGAAATATGATCGTTCAACAAATATATGAAAAATGCTCAAGATCTCTAGCAATTAGAGAAATATTCAGATTAAAACTACACTGAAATTTCATCTCACTCCAGTCAGAATGGCAATTACCAAGAATACAAATAACAATAAATGTTGGTGAGGATGTGGGGGGAAAGGTAGTGGGACTGCAAATTGGTGCAACCATTATAGAAAGCAGTAAGGAGATTTCTCAGAAAACTTGGAATGGAATCACCATTTGACCCAGTTATCCCACTCCTCAGCATATAACCAAAGGACTTAAAATAAGCATAATATAGAGAGTTGGCACATCAATGTTTATAGCAGCCCAATTCACAACAGCTAAGCTATAGAACTAACCTAAGTGTCCTTCAACAGATGAATGGACAAATAAAATGTGGTACATAAGGGTAAAAAACAAGTTCATATGTACATTATTCTGGAAGACATAACGTCTTGGAAATCTCTAGGCCATTCAAGAGTAAGTAAAGATCTGTATACGGGGTAAAAATGGAAGTTCATAACCCACTTGAATCAAATGTATGAAATATGATATGTCAAGAGCTTTGTAATGTTTTGAACAACCAATAATAATAAAAAAAGAGTAAAGAATATATGTTTAGAAGCAAAACATGATCATCTAAAAAGCTTCAAAAAATCCCATCTTCAGATACATACATTTAAAGACTTAATAACTTTGGATCCAAGCCCAGCAGAAATCGACAGCTTCACATTTTTGTGGATCTACATCAACTTTTGTTGCTAGGCAGTGACTAAAGACAGTGATGACAATAAAGTGTGTGTTCAAGTAAATTTTGCCTGGATTATAYCAATCAATAAAGCCTATATTCTACATAGAAAAGTATGTAGAAAACCATGAAGAAAAAACTCTATCATCTTTATAAAAACAATCTCTTCTTCCACTTATTACTAATCTTAATAAATAAATAAAATTCCAGGTGAAAGGAGTCATCTCATTTTAATATGCCTGGATAAAAGTGAAATATTTCATTTCTGGATAGCTTTTCACTAAGAACACTAGAAACCTTAAGACATCTAATAGTTATTGCTTTTGTTCAACCACATTCAATTTCAATTTTCATATTAAAATTCCTCCAAATGATGAAATAAGAAATTAAAAAAGAAATACCCTTGAAACATACTTTGGAAGACTAGAAAACAAAATGGCTTAAAAACTTCCTTTGCAGTAATCTTAAACTATGTAACACCTTTTTAAGGGAAAAAAAAAAAAAAAAAACAACCAAGTAAAATAGGCATGAACCATAACCAAGTAGTTTCATAAAAAAGAAATACTAGGTGGAAAAAAAAATCACAAAGATATTCAATTGATTCATAAAAAAATGTTAATTAAAACCAATACAATACCAATTTTGATCCATTAAACTGGCAAACATTTTTTAAAAAGTCTATTACCCATTTTCGATGAGATTGTACAGAAATAAATATTCTCATATAACTTTGAAGTATAAGCAAAATATTTTGTGAGGATATGTCCCACCACCTATGAAAATGTTCAATAAGATATCTAGGAATTTTCCACACACAAACTAACACAAGTACATAAAGAATTAGGTTCACACATGTTTAGTGAATATAATTTTTAATACTAAAATTCTGGAAGCAATTATATAGTAAATCCTGATAAAACTGCATACAGAGCACTCTACAATACCAAAACATGATATAGATTTCTATGAATAATAATTCTTTCTTCACTTATTACCTCTGCCACTCTTTCTGCTGTGGTGAAAGATCAAATATTACCTGAAATAAAAGAAAACATAATTACTGGCACTGCCAAATATTCTTGGTTTTTCTAGCACAATTTTTAAAAATTCTCTGAGTAAGAAACATAAATTTAGAGTGTTACTAAAAACAGGTATTCATGATTTATATTTAATCTTCTATAAGTCAAATTATAAAATTTTAATGTAATTCTATTCAAAAATAGAATAAAATTTACTAATCACAAATAGGTTCCTGTTAAAGTTATCTGTTTTTATTGACAGATATAGTCAATCTATCAGGATATAAAATGGTATTTTAGGACTTAAATCATTTAAATCACAGCAGGATGAAACTAACAACTACGGTGGTGAGTGGGAAGGCATATAGCTTAAGTATAAAATTCGAGGATTCAAAGCCCATATTCTTGCTAGGAGGCAATAAGAATTCTCTCCTCAGCCAAATTTGCATTTGCAGGCCAAATAGCTTCCTCCATGACTGGCACAGAAATTCATGCTAGTCTGTAAATCATCCCCTATATTTCTGCCAAAAAAAGAAATCTCAAGTCCCTCTACAAAATGATAGACAAAAATAAAAGACAAAAAAAAATAAAAAATGAATGGTAAAAATTAAAAGCAATGAAACATTATTAAAATTGAAAAACTAGCCAGCCTGGTGGCTAATGCCTATAATCTCAGAGGCTCAGGAGACTAAGGCAGGAGGATTGTGAGTTCAAAGCCAGTCTCAGCAAAAGCAAAGCACTAAGTAACTCAGTGAGACTCCATCTCTAAATAAAAATATAAATTAGGGCTGGGGATGTGGCTCAGAGGTTGAGGACCCTGAGTTCAATCCCCAGTACCAAAAAAAAAAAAAAATTTTTTTTTTGAAAAACTATTCTTACAATAGTATAAAACATTTTTGCAAATGTTAAAGTGTCTAATCATTTGGATTAATATTTCCAGATAGCTCAATATGTTGTGACAGTATCCGCTGAACTGAAAGGTATATAGCTTCATGTAAAAATTACTAAAAAGTCAATTGTATCAGCAGGAAAACAGAGGTCAGGAAGAAAGGGAAAGAATAGCAATAACAAATTCACTTTTCTATACAAATTTCTACTTAAAAGAGTGTACACCAAAAGTACATGTTTTGCTACTGTAAAAAAAAAAAAACTAATATGAATTCAGCAATCAAAATTCCATTCAGTTACTTCAAGTCTTCCTCTACTTACCACTTTGAGTTATCATTTTGCAATTTTCCTTAAAGAAGGGTTCACAAGTGCCAGTGGTGAACAAAAAAGAACTCAAGAGTAGAATACATATGTAAACACAAGTACCACAACACCAAAAGGCAGTCAGCAACTACAAAGTAGTTGACAATTGCATCCCTTTTCTCAGAAGCTTCTTTAGGGCTAATCCTGATTAGGTCTTGTTATCACTGTACCTATCCCCATAATGTATCTGCTGATAAACCAATTATATTTTTGCACAACTGTGCTTTGAAGATATTAAGAGAATGTTAGCATTTCCTAAGGCTTGAGAAGTGAAAGTGAGGTATGAATTAATACATGCCTATGAAATTTCTCTTAGATAATGCTTCATTCCTGATTATGATAAGAGAAATTCAGCTCAAGTATTTTTAAAGACTAAAATTTTGTACAAGTAGAATAGGACATAAAAGTTTCTAAATTATTAGAGAAAAAGCAGAAAATTTTATCACTATGGCAACTAAAAGCAAAGATACAAGGAAACTATTAGGAAGCATTAACAAAAAATATAAAAAAGTTTAAACATAAAACAGATTTTAGAGGCTCATTCCTAAATATTAACAATGGCTATGCCAAGTCTTTGACATTAGACTTTTCTCTCTTGCCCTCCACCTAAATTTTGCACAAATATGGATTACCTATGTAATAAGAAAAATTACATTAAAAACTCAGAGAAAACTAAAAGCAAATGTCAAACTGGTCTTCAAGTGTATAATTCCTCAAACTGTATACTTCAAAAATTACATGAATTAAACTTACTGGTTCATAAACTAGACCATCTGCAGATGCAACCATTGTTTCTGCTAAATCCAATACATCTGCTCCAACATCTGCATTAAAAAGAAAAAAATTAGAAGTTTTTACATTCTATGCTCAGAGCCAAATGACATCAGATATAAACAAATTAAAATGACTAACAGAAAACTCACTTATCACTTTCCTATAGTGTTTATTTGTTCAAAAGTTAAAATAGTACCATTAATGTAGCTTTTGTGGATATTATTCCAAAACTGAAAAATGATTTTTTTATTTCTTGCTCAGAAAAATAGATGACAAAGATGTGCATGGTAAATAACATAAATCTTAACTGAATTACAAAGCTTTGCTGGGGCTGGGGATGTGGCTCAAGCGGTAGCGCGCCGGCCTGGCATGCGTGCGGCCCGGGTTCGATCCTCAGCACCACATACCAACAAAGATGTTGTGTCCGCCGAGAACTAAAACATAATAAAAATTCTCTCTCTCCCTCTCTCCTCTCTCACTCTCTCTTTAAAAAACAAACAAACAAACAAACAAACAAAAAAAGCCCAGCCAAATTCTTTAAAAAAAAAAAAAAAAAAAGCTTTGCAAAAATCGTCAAGAACCTCATCACAAGTAATAAATGGCTGCTGAACAAAATATTAACTAAGAATTAATTTTCAAGATTAAAAGGAATCTTAAAGCTGTGAAATCTTTAAAAAGTCAAGAAATAGAAAACCTTATTTTGAAAAGATTACTATATAACTCAAAATTGGGGATATAAAGTATTTCCTTATTTTTTAAAAGTACTAACATAAGGAAAAATAAATAAACGGAAAAAAGATTTTTTTTTTACTATTTTTCTTTTAATTGAGATGAACACAATACCTTTATTTTATTTATTTATTTTTATGTGGTGCTGAGGATCGAACCCAGTGTCTCACACTTGCTAGGCAAGCGCTCTAGCACTGAGCCACAACCCCAGCCCTGGAAAAGAGATTTAAAGTTGTTCTGAGATAAAATCTTCCAGAAACTAATCTGTTACATTGGATAAGACTATTTCACACTAAACAATTTTATCTAAACTAATGATTTCTTGGTTTCCACATTTTTAAGCAATAACTTAAAAGACCATTTTCATATAAAAGCAGCCTCATTTTCGAGAGCACTACAAATTCAAACATTATCTGACATATTAGTATTTTTCCACTTCTGACAATACAGAAAGCCAGAAAATAGAAAAAAACGTAAATATCACTATTCCCTTAAATGAACTGAATTTCTATTTTAAAATATATGAATAAAAGTATAGCAAATGTGACAAATTGAAATGGTGAAACAGGATATGTTTGTGGAATGTGAGTACAGAACCTGTTACTTCAAACAAGAAAGAATGTCTATTCTAGAATTCTGATAAAACTTCCCTCCAATTTTCTTCATTTTAATTATACTATGTGAATTAAATCTCTTTATGAAGATGAAATATAATGAATACAAACCGAGGTGAAACTATTTTCATTATTAAATAAAATCACAATAAAATGTTTAATTTCATAAAGGAAAAACAAGATTACAATACAATGAATAGCTTTTAATTTCTACTGGCAATCGATGGAGCCATAAACTACATAGAGATTCATCAGGTTAAGATGTACTTACATTGACACTTCATGGCAACAGTAATATCTATGTTGATTCTCAATTTGCTAAAAGACAAAAAAGTAAATGTTAGTATCTATTAGTTAATCAACAAAATATCAAAAGTATAAATCAATTATGAAAAACCTGGATTTCAAACAGAGAAAAATATATCAATTAGAACTTAGATTGCATTTCTTATGGCCAAAACAAAGGCACTTTAAAAATAAAAGTTCTATTTTGATTAATCCAAAAACTTGAGTTCAGATTTTTAACACAATTGCTCAGATAATGATAATAGCAACTCTACCATAATAGATAACAATAAGTAATCCAAAGTTTTAACCTCTGTTTATATAAACTTTGGATACAATATTCCTTTAAGAATATAAACACCAAAAATTAAGAATTACGTATACTGTTTTTTTTCCTCTACCTACATCATGCATTACGAATATAATATAATATAATATTTGTATAATGTAATATACAAATGTTCTCTTCTTTTTAAAAAATATTTTTTAGTTGTCAATGGATCTTTATTTTAGTTATTTATATGCAGTGCTGAGAATCTAACCCAGTGCCTCACGTATGCTAGGCAGGCGTTCTACCACTGGACTACAACCTCAGCCCTCTTTTTTTATCCTATATCATGAAACTATAAAGTTAATGGCTTCCAATTAACTTTTTTCTAACAAACCACCAGTACTCAAAGTAGAATTAATGTTGGCATAAAATCACATAACTACTAAAGTGGCATACTGGGTCTGCATAACTCAGGATAAATATAATCAAATTATCAGAAAACAAACATCTGATGCTTAAAGTTTTGTATGGCCTTTTAAAGGGTTTGATTATTTTCAAATGATTAGTTTGAATCAATTTACAATACAAAAATTAATTAAGCAATATAAATAGTAGAATGAGACCATCAAATTCAATCCTTCATTTCCTATAAAAACTTTATCGCTAATAATTTTCATCTAATCTCAATAGGAATTACAAATTTTAAAACTTCATAGTGTCTTAAAGTTGTCTATAGTTCAAACTGTGCTCAAAATAAGTTTGAGGCTTAGTTCCAGGAAAAACTGTAGGAACCAGAGGAGGGGGCCACATAAGCAGATTCTGGGGTGCCCCTACTACACTGATAACATGCTTAATCTAGACTACATTTGGAAAATAAAAATGGTTTAATTTATGCTATAAACAAACAAAATAACAATAAAAAATGTCCTGAAAACTAATGGCATCTAGAATAGTAACTCATGTTACAGATGCAGAAACAGGTCCAAAAGTAGTCAATTGTATGAATTGCTCAAGGTTATACAACAATTTATATATGTTGACCTAATTATAAATCCCATGAGAAAGATACAATAAATGTTATTCTTTTTTACCGATTAGAAAACTGAAGTACATGCAGATACAGATTTAGTGACTTCCTAAAGTCACAAAGCTCGTGAATAACAGAGCTGGAATTTAAATGGAGAACTAAATGTGTCTTCTTCTCTAGTGTACTCTTAATATTATAAACATGTTATATGCAATCCAAAAAAAATCCAAATAAAAGAATAAATGATAAAAGTATATTTTATCTCCTACAGTACTATATTTTCAAAGGTTAAAAAGTAAATCTACATATCAAAATTTATCTTAGATATAATTCATAGAAGTCAAGTTATAAGTATACACAATTTATGTTTCAGTCCATATATGTCAGTAAGATATTTCAAAGTATAAAGAATAGAGTTTCAAACAATTCTCACAGCTATTTACATCTAAGGAAAAACATATGTTCTCCTAATTTGTATACAAGTACAAATTAATCAGAGACCAGTATCTAAATGATTCCAAATGTTTCAATTTAATGCATGTAATTAGTAAGAATTTTTCAGGACCATTTCTTCAAAACTAAAACCAAATATAAAAGGTTAGACATTTTTTCAAAAGATCCACTTTTAAAATAACTTGAATCTAAAAGTATTTCAAAAAGAAAACAGTTACCTAGAAAAATCCTTGTCAACTTCATATTCATACTTCATCCACGTATCTTGATACACTGAGAATTCCATTATTGTTAATAAAGCCATAGTGGTAAATGCTATTAGAGAAACTGAGAAATATAATACCACCAAATTAAAAAAAAAATTAAAAATACACAACAGTAAACTATTTTAAGTGAGATTAAAAGTAGCAATATAAAAATGTGTCTAATATGATTTCCATTTAAATAAATACTATAAAAAAATTTTTCTTCAAAATGTTTTTTTTTATTGTACTTTTTTTATTGTTGGTTGTTTAAAACATTACATAGTTCTTGACATATCATATTTCACACTTTGATTCAAATGTTTACTATATTTTTTTTCTAAAACAATTTAAAATGAAAATTTAATAAGCACAAATATGAACACAAACAACTGAATACTGAGAAAGCAATTTTCTGCTCTAATTTTAAGGGCATCTCTCACTAAATAGGTTTGCTATAATTTTACAAGACATAAACTATTTTGTTACATATAGCACTGTGAGATATAATAAATGATGAAAATAAGCATCCTTACTGGCCAAATTTGAAAATATTCCCCTCAGTGTTTAAAAAAAAATGCATCTATGCAAATAGCCCAATTTACAACAAAAATGTATTACTTTCATTAACAAAATTTAAATCATAAGAGATTAGAAATATTAAGCAATTTATTACACATTTTATTCAATAAAATAGAATCATGTGAAATATGTTATTTCATTACCTCTTCATGGGAAAATAAATAGTAACATTATTAAAGTCATATTATTCTTACAGTTCTTACTATTTTATTTAACAAACCCTTCTATCTGTGTAAGCCACTACTCTAAGCATAATACATAGTAAGTTATTCGATACATTAACCCTAGTGAGTAAATACTGATATACCTGCTTCATAAAACTAGTTTTGAGTAACTTCCTTATAGGAAGCAGCAGAGGTGGGATCTTAATCCAGATAGTTTAAGTCTGGATTTACAGTTTAAATTCTTAAGCATTACCTCATGCAGCCTCTCAAACACTAATGTGAAATTTAAAAAAGGCGAAAGATTTATACGATCTGAAGAGAAACCAGAGTATACTAATGTGAAATTTAAGAAATTTCTACGTTTATATTAACTTAATCAAAATAGGAATGAGGCAGTGTCAACATTCTTATATAATTTCTTGAAATTTTTTTCCATTTATATATCAAAATCTTGTTAATGTAAATACCGTAACTGAAGAGTACCAAAATAGTAAAATTGCATGAATTTATTGATTAATAGACACTGTTAAATGTATGAGTGGAATTTGGTTCAATGTTATACAGAATATAAACAAGAATAAAACAGGGCAACAGTGACACAAGGACAGACAAACGAATTACAAAGTTACTGCACAATTCATTGATGAGTTCTTCCTCTTGGCTACATTTCTATATGTTCTTGATTGAATCACTCAGAAACTACTTACCGAGGAAATTTTATTTGAACTAAAACTCACCTGTTCCCCCACTGGCTGAAGTCTCTACATAGCTGTCAGGAACCTTTGGAAAGGCATCCAACTCTTTCACCAAATTTAAGGTTTTTCTCCGATTCAGTCGCCTCATCTTCAGGAAAACCCTCCTCTTCCTTCATATAGTCATGCTGAGAAATAAATATTAAATGAATTCTATAAAATGATGAAAGGTTTCTTTTAGTTTAGGGTAAGATGTCCTTAGAAATTCAGTGTTCTTATCCTTCCTTGAGAAAATAATACTCATACCCATTCCTTTCCCCATTCCGCCCTAACAAAAAACTACTAATAAAGGGCAATTTATATATACTAACAATACATAGCACAAAAACAATTCAGTCACACTGTAATCTTCAAACATACAAATCAAAATAAAAATGATTTTGTTATTAAATTGACAAATAAAAATAAAACATTCCCAGCAATGGATAAAAATGAAATAAGACAGACATACATTGCTAACAAGGACATAAATGTCATCACTTCCTTTTTCACTAAATGAATTCCTCATTAGAAATGGATCCTAAGGCAAGAATCTGGGTTAAGAACAAAAATTTGATTACAAAAATATTTCTTATAGTGTTTTGTTTTGTTTGGTACTGGGGACTGAATCCATGGGCAGTCAACCATTGAGGTATATTTGCAGCCCTTTTTATTTTAATTCTAGATGGGGTCTTGCTAAGTTGCTGAGGCCGGCCCGGAACTTGTTAACTGAGATTATAGGCATGAACCACTGCACCCAGCTATTATATTATTTTTTTTTTGTTGTTAAATATTCAAGACAATTAAACTCAGGGTATCCACTATACAAATTATGGTGAAATTACTGGTCTTAATCTCTATAACTACTAAAAAGCATAAAAGAAAACATTTAATGACAAAAGAAAACACTTATGATATATTAAGAAGATTCAAAGGCCTTAGGGGTTCTAATTTTAAGAGACAAGAAAAGATACAAGAAACAAACTTAAGTCCATACATAAAAACGTTAAAAGTAGATCACTAGAGGATTTTCATTTTTTTTACATAATTGCAAAGTTTCAAAATTGCTTTTAAAATATTATTTAAAATTTGATTGCTTGCCATTCTTTTTGATCAATATGCCAACTACATCTAAAATGTTATAAAGTCAAACAAATGAGAACTTAATTCTTAGATATTCTGCAATTTTAATAATATCATCATCCCTCACTATCCATGGGGGATTGGTTCCAGGAGTCCCCAGGAGATAACGAAATCCTCAGATGTTCAAGTCCCTCATATAAAATAGTGTAGTACTTGCATAGAACCCAAGCACTTCCTCTTGTATATCTTAAATAATCTCTAGATAATTAATAATACCTAATACAATATATATATGCTAGGTAAATAGTTGTACTATTACTGCTTAAGGATCATTGACAAGGAGAAAAGTCTGTACATTTTCAGTTAATATATTATTTTTCTCTGAATATTTTCAGTCAAGGTTTGTTGATCCATGGATGTGAAGCCCATGATATGCCCAGCCAACTGTATCCATGTGTAAATACTACAAGTGATAACAAAGAATTCCCAGAAATCAATGGTGTATTAGTAAAATTAACACATAATAGCAGAATGAATTCTAGATGGTTGCAGAAGTTACTGTAAGAAAAAGTATCTCTAGAAGACAGACTTTGGTTCTGAAATCCAATGACTAGAATTAATATATAAATAGGCCACAGAAAGGGCATTCATGGAGAAAAACTGGAAGTTATCACAAATGACACCCAAAAGAGAGAGCCCCAACCAGGGACACTTTTGACCAATCTACCACTGAGTTACTGCTGTAAAGTGGGGTTGAAAGCATTAATAGTTTAATTTCATTTACTCTTAAAAACATCCAACTTCCATTGCTGACTCCTTGCTTACAACGTGACCTTCAGATTATGATTTTTTTTCAAAATCTAGTAAAATAGATGATGTGGACAAGAGATGGCAGTTTCTAATCTCCATATCAATTTTTTTTATTGGTTATTCAAAACATTACAAAGATTGCAGAATCACATCGGTTACACATCCACATTTTTACATAATGCCATAATAGTAACTGTTGTATTCTGCTACCTTTCCTATCCTCTACTATCCCCCCTCCACTCCCCTCCCATCTTCTCTCTCTACCCCATCTACTGTAATTCATTTCTCTCCTTATTTTTTCCCATTCCCCTCACAACCTCTTATATGTAGTTTTGTATAACAATGAGGGTCTCCTTCCATTTCCATGCAATTTCCCTTTTCTCTCCCTTTCCCTCCCACCTCATGWCTCTGTTTAATGTTAATCTTTTCCTCCTGCTCTTCCTCCCTGCTCTGTTCTTAGTTGCTCTCATTATATCAAAGAAGACATTTGGCATTTGTTTTTTAGGGATTGGCTAGCTTCACTTAGCATAATCTGCTCTAATGCCATCCATTTCCCTGCAAATTCCATGATTTTGTCRTTTYTTAGTGCTGTGTAGTACTCCATTGTGTATAAATGCCACATTTTTTAATCCATTCATCTATTGAGGGGCATCGGAGTTGGTTCCACAGTCTAGCTATTGTGAACTGTGCTGCTATGAACATCGATGTGGCAGTATCCCTGTAGTACGCTCTTTTAAGGTCTTCAGGGAATAGTCCGAGAAGGGCAATAGCTGGGTCAAATGGTGGTTCCATTCCCAACTTTCCCAGGAATCTCGATATTGCTTTCCATATTGGCCGCACCAATTTGCAGTCCCACCAGCAATGTACAAGAGTACCCTTTTCCCCACATCCTCTCCAGCACTTGTTGTTTGACTTCATAATGGCTGCCAATCTTACTGGAGTGAGATGGTATCTTAGGGTGGTTTTGATTTGCATTTCTCTGACTGCTAGMGATGGTGAGCATTTTTTCATGTACTTGTTGATTGATTGTATGTCCTCCTCTGAGAAGTGTCTGTTCAGGTCTTTGGCCCATTTGTTAATTTCTCCATATCAATTATAAAACTTTTATTTATTTGTAAATTAAGCTTCTTGAGTATTTGTTGGGCATAAGTCATGCCCCTGAGTTTGCTCTATTCTGAGAAAGTAATCAAATTTTCCATACCTGCTTTGTGGTATGGAAAAACCACATCAAGGTTAACCTTTCTTCGATCTCTACTTGTCCTTTTTGATTAGTTAAATGTTAAATATGTTCATGCCTCTTTATCTTTAGAATAAAACCCTTTCTTAAACTCAAGTCCAACTCTATAGATTTATGGCAACATCTTTAACCAAACATATGAGTTGTCTCCATTCATCTATTATGAGTACTTCCTTACACAATGGTGGGATTCACTTAGTATATATTAAGAGTCATAGGACATATGTACTTTTTTCATTTGAGAATCTATAAAACTGTGGCCCATGGATTGTGGGACTCTTTGATAACCCCCTTTTTCAGAAAAGTAGTCACCACTCTTAACTAAATTTGCTCTCAGCAAGGTCATTAAGAACTTCCTTAGTACTAAGCCCAAGAACACATCTCAGTTCTTACCTAATGTCACCTGGGAAAAACTTCTTTTCTTTTTGAAATAGTTACCTTGGCCTAAGTGATACAGATTGAGAACCCAATCCAAAAGTCAAAAATGCTCTGAAATCCAAGACTTCTGAGCACAGACATGCCAACTCAAAAAGTTTCAGATTTTGGAGTATTTTGGATGCTCTACTGGTAAAGACCATCCAAGTATTTCAAAATTAGAAAAACCATGAAATCCGAAACACTTCTGGGTTCTACCACTTCAGATAATGGATACTCAACCCATACTGCACTCCTAATTTTCATTTTACCTCTTTGGCTAATTTTGCAGATCTATTTTCCTCTCGCATTCTCTACACTAGGCCTTCCTCCCAACCTCCACGTTTTCCTAAAGTAATTTCCTATTCCTTCAGTTTCCATTTACATGTTGAATCCTCCAAATCTTTCCAGTCAGCCCAAATCTCTCTGCACAGATATATCTTCTTGTCTTCTCTTCCACTTTCATTTAGACATCCCAAAGACAACCCAGACTCAGCAAGTCCAAAAAAAAAATGATCATTTCATCCTATCAAAACTGTTTCTCCTATATCTTCCTAGTTAATTATTAACACCATGTATCCAACTGCATAAGCTAGAAACAGGTACCATTAGACTTAGGCTTTTCCTAAAGTTCTCTCAAAATGGTCCATTCTCTCTTCTTGAGGGTCCACTGAGAAGTTCCTAAGTAGAAACCTAGTCCCAACTGTTACAATCTAGTGCATTGCTTCAACAAATTCTAACCTTCAACCCCTCAATTCATTCTCCATATTCTATGAATTACCCTTTTAAAACATAAATTTGATCATATATTTCTCTTGAAATACCTAGATAAGTTCCACTGCACTTAGATTATGTACTCTATCCTAACACAGTTTACAAATCCCTCCAAAATCCAAGTCCTGATTACCTTTCTTCAAACTCAATTCCTAGCAGTTCAAGTTTCAGCTTCAAGAAAAATCACATTATACTTTTCAAATATGCTGTTCTCTCTCCCCTAAATATTTTCTATTCCCTCCCCAACTCTCATTTGACTGTTTACTCCTCAAGTTCCAGTCTATTATAAATTTCTGTATTGAGGGGGAAAAGCTTTCTGCAACCCTCAAAATTTATGAGTACTTACAGCACTATACCTTTATCACAGTATTTCTAATTACTGGTTTCATTTTCTATTTTCTAGGGCAGAAATCATGTCTAACTTGATCTCTGTATCTCTAATGCTTAGCACGCAATTATTTAATAAATATTTATTGAGGGAAGGAAGGAAACTTCCCGAGAAACACCAATGCTGATTGGCTCACAGCGGCCCCAGCAAACTTCCAGCTGATTGGCTCCTCTGCAGTGATGCTCATTGGGCTGTTTCCCCGCCCTTTCAGACCACGGAGCTGCTCATTGGGGGACTCTTTTGGCTCCACCCACACGACCCAGCCAATCAGCCTCAAGAGGGGGAGGAGTGGGGGTTGAGAGGCCCGCCAGAAGCCGGTGGTGGCAGTTGGGCTCTGAGGGAATTCCTGAAGAGCTCATGTGGTGTGGTGTGGCGCCCGCACGCGCGTGTGTGTGTGTGTGTGTGTGTGCGCGCGCTCTAAAAATAAAGTTAGTTTCTGCTTG